TGACTACCATACATTACATATGTGAGTGTGTGTGTATATGTGTATGTATGTATGTGTGTGTGTGTGTATGTGTATGTATGTATGTGTATATATATAACTGTTTTCAAATAAATACTTAAATGTCACTTATTTTTCTTTAAACATAACACAGTAAATGAAACATATTTGGAAAACAAAGTTGCTACAAAGTCCTTGTTTGCACTTGTGAGCTACACTTGCTAAACTTCATCCAAATTCACGGGTGGAAATGGAAAAATATTAATAATTTTTGGAATACATAAAAAATATAAATTACTATACCAATACCCCAAAAATCCACTTTAGTTTATCAGACTTCACAACTAAATTGTATTTGGGTCTAAAAATATAATTTCTATTTACAAAGTAGCTTTAATAGCAATACTTCAAACTTTCCAATGATATAAGAGCATTTCTCTCACAAGTAACTTAGGAAGACTGACAGAATTATGTAGAATAAATATAAAGCTTTTGATTGATTATAAAGTTATTGGTATATAAAAGTAGGCATAGATAAAAAAGTGATGGAAGGAGCCAATATGGTGGGTTCACTAAATATCGTGATTTCTCAGCAAATAGAAAAGGTAGGAGGTTCTTATTTTATATTCTAGATTACCAATATCACACATTTGAGTTTATAACTTGTACAAAACTACAGACGTTGTATTGTGGGCGTCATAAAATGTAATCTGACCAAACCCAGATGACCACGTACCACATGACACACAAAAATTGATATTTAGCTTTTTTTTTTTTAATATTTAGTTTCAAATTAAGAACCTGTCTAATGTATAATCTACAATTTGATACCAAACTTATCGACATACTTTTATAAAATGATAGCTAAATGAAATGTTGAATGTAAATCTACAAATGTGCCCTTTGACCCTTAGTAGGGTTAAGTGTTAAATTAGAAATTCTTTTTGGACTTGTATTCTAAAGTAAATGTTTTTTCCCTCCAATAATCCAGTTATTCATTGTTTAGTTGAATTAAAAAACTTTTGATATCCTTTTAAGATATAGAAATTGTCACTATGAAATAATAATTGTAATGTTGGCTGACCAAGTTAAACATTTGATAAACTTAATTATTCAAATATGCTTAAATATATGTACATATGCATTATACAGTGAAAAGAACAGTTGTTTATCTCTCACCCATTGGTAAAACTCTGTGTTAAAATTTTTTTCATTCAAAAACAGGGAAATTTCCAGGTTATTCTTGAGACAAACTAACCTGTATCAAAGTTTGTCCTGAAGGCTGTATTGGTTGTCCAGAAAAAAACAACAATAATAACCTAAACCCTCAAAAAATATCCAACTACGAAAATATTGATGTACAAAGACCATAAAAAAGACCCAGTTACAAGAATTTTGATTTTGTTTACATCTTATTTATTTCCAAAAAGCACAATTAATGTTTAGTTGGCAATTTTGCATCTTTATTCAACTAATTTTTAATATATTATTTCCCAGGAAGTTTTGTTACTTTGGAAAAAATAAGTCCAAACTATGGTAATGTTATATAGTATCTTAAAGAAACTAACAGTCAGTGACTTGTAAAACTTTGAAATAGAATATTATAATTAGCTTGATCTGCCCACCAAATACATCATGTACTAAGACTAGACTTGCATCAGAACTATCACATATGCTAATATACCGTATTACACTGGATGCCACTTATTGTGATCACCTCTGGACACAGTTGCATTGATAACAATAACTGAATGATAACGTTAACCGATGAAATAAAAATTCAGCAGTTACAGTAATGTTTATTGACATAGGGTAGCAAACATATCACCTAAAAGTTTGAAAGCTGGATTTTTACATTTATTGACATATTTAAAAACAATTAAAGAAAGGAAAAACAATTAAAATAAGAATTCTAAAAATTCATTCAAAGTTGACTGGCTACTATTGTTTTGGAGCAATTCATGAATAATGCTTTCATATTCATACTGTTTATGAATCTTTCTTGATCTGTGCTGTACGGCAAGTCGCAAAATTCAAAGCACTTCTCGCCTTTCAGCTCTTGTTGGAGATTTATCAGCTTTATGGGCTTCAGCTTTTTCTTCATCTATCAATAAAGCCCAGTTTCATCTGCATTCTAAATGTTATCAAGCGAATATTCTGCAATAATTTTTGGCCAAGTTTCTTCTGTTGAGAAATCAGCATCCTTTTGCTCACCATGTGTGCATTTGTATGCAACGTTTTCCCATTTTTTACAAAGATTAAACTACCTGTTCATTGCAACAAAATTGTCTTTTCCCATTTTCATAGCTCGTTCTTCTGCTTTCTGCCATATCATTGATCCACATACATGAGCATCTTGTTCACAAACATTAGTAAACCAAAGTTTTAATGCTGATTTGACCTGGTCATCTTTTCCACTGCACTTTCTCTTACAGTTTACATTTTCATTTTGTTTTGTGCTCTTCTCAATGTCGGCTCAGTTTTTTTTTAAAATTCTACACAAAAGAGGTTGGGAGATTTTTTATTGCACTGCTGCATTACGTTGCCCCATTTTTGGTAACTTATCATAATGTTCTAAAATGCAACTTTCTCTTTAAGGGTTAGATCTTTAAGTTTCTTATGCACTTCTTTCATTATTACAGAGAGTTAACAAAAATTTAAATTTGTGGAGCACTGTCTTTCATGAAGGAACTAAAACAATTGTATTGTAATTATGGAAGGGAAATGCAAGACCATGGGGGATCTTAATGACAACTTAGCCACACTCTGTTTTATGGTGAACCTTCCTCGGGTCGCTTGACCTTGAGATGATTAAGCTGATTAAAAGTGATAAAAAACGAAGCGCTGATTAAAATAAATGATGTTTTTCCTATATATATTTTTATATGTTTGGTCAGGACTTGGTAATTCTGATAACATTATCCATGACCGCAATAAGCGAAATCCAGTGTACATACACAATACCATTGCACTGCATGTGTATATATACACACACACACACTGCTGATATGTATTATTGTTCATGCTTGTAGTTTGTATTGACCTGGAGAGAGGCAAAGCTAGCATTATTTTATTTATTGTTGTTCTGCTTCATACTGATGAAACTTTGATAAAATTTTGTCTCCAGTTATCATTATTATGCTATGTTTAATTCATAGATTTTACCACTTTTCTCATGAGTGCTAAGCCTTCTGTATTTCCTAGATTCGATTGATTGTGTTTGTGTAACGTTAGCCTTGGGCTTTTATGTGCATAATCGAAAGGGAGTCAGTGTTTCAACTGTGATGATCAATGATGAAAATTCTGAGTTTGATTTTGTAAATTTGATCATTTTAATTCATACTTAAGGTTTATTGGTAAAAATTTGAAACAGGCATGTTAGTTTTATTGTCATAAGCATCTATACTAGAAATTAATCTCACTTAATATTCATGTTATTGGCATTAATTTTTGTTACAAATTCCCACCCACCCATATATTTGTGTACAAACATCTTGCAATACAATGTGTGGTATTGTAACTAACTGAGCTGTAGACACTGTACTGTGTTATGACACACAGCCATTCATGCTCAGTTGAACTCAGTACAAAATATACATGCATAAAGCAGCACAGAGGTGCAGCCTGCCCACAGTAGAAGATTTAGTGATTAAAACATTATTATTATCCAATCACAAAAGCAAACTTTTACTAATGTTTTCAGCCCCTTTTGTTGGATTGTACCAACATTTCTCTTGTACAATCTTTTTTAACAAAAAATAGACCAAATGATATTTTTATGGAGGTTTAAATTTTCGAGTTCGTAGTTAGGGAATTTATCAATGACTTTGGTCGAGTATTGGTGTCACAATTATGTGTGGAGTGTGGGAATGGATAAGTGTACAGTAGACTGTGATGCTGTTTTGAGTAAGGGTTTGTTCCAGGGCACTAGTAGTTCGTCGGACAACACGGGGATTTAAGTTGATCATCCGAGGAAGTTTTTAGTCATCTTGGACAACCCTTAAAATTGAGCCCTTTTCAAAAATTGCACATTAAGAAACAAAAAAGATTCATTTTAGAATTTAGGAAAGTTTAGATTATATACTGTAAGTAGAAAAGAAATAAAAAGTATAGGTTCTTAACTTTAGTGGGATGGTAGTTTTGTGATTTGCTGCTGTAAACCTACCTAAACTCAGTATTTTGATAATTATACATCTTATTTTAATTTTAGACAGATACTACTTTTAAGTCTAGCTCACTCACTGCAGTATATAAATGTAAAATAATACTTAATATTTTGCACTTGGTAAAAAAGAAATAGCCTTTTTTATAAAAGCTTATGACTACAGGGTGTGTATTAGACTTATTCTCTATGATAATGTGCACATTTGTTTAAACTGTTAATTTATATAGTTTTTTTTTATTATGACATTAAAGGTATAAGTGTGTATGTTAACATGCTTGATGATATCTTTGTTTCACGTAAAGGTGTTGAACTACAATTATGTGTATTCTCTCAACTGGTGGCTGTTAGTTCATCCATTTTGGCTCTGTTTTGATTGGTCCATGGGCTGCATACCTCTTATCCATTCATTGACTGATCCCAGGCTAGTTGCTGTTGCTGTTTTCTGGATGACAGCAGCCTTCCTGTTGTATTGTTGTCTGTCTCATGAAGATAGGAGGATCCGAAGGTAAGTCCAGAGTAGAAAATTTATGACGTGCTTACCTGTATAGCTTTCTGAAAATGCTGTTAAAATTGAAATAATTTTTAGTATCATTCTCACTTCTGACACTGAATTGGATATCTTTGGAATTGACATAGGACTTACTGACTTAATTAGTCTAGCACACAACAGTGCACTATCTTTTTTTTTTCATATTGTCAAATTTGCATATGTATATAGAATATTCAATAGGTAATGAAAACCATTTAGTGACATACTTTTCTTCATGTTTCCATATATGAAACCATTCAATAATAACTGTCTGAATATATTTTTAAGGTATATTGTATGTATTTAGTAAATCTTATGTGCCTGTTATAATATTTAAGTTGTACCTAATAGTAAGCATCATTTATAACTTTTTCGGTGACGAGGAACTATAACTTTTGTTTTTTATTATGTTAAAAATAGTGCCATTCATTTATGGCAGCCCTTTGCTTTACTTAAGAATTAAATTAATCATTTTACATGTGTGTATAAAAAAAAAAGACATACATCTATAATTATTCTTAAATAAGAATATGCACAACATTCACTTCTTGTGGTACGTTTAATTACAACCAACCAACTTGTTAGTTTTCAGAATGTTTTCTATTTATAGGTTAGTGACAATGTCTGTCGTCCTTCTTGTTATTCCCTTTTTACCTGCATCCAACTTGTTCTTCCGAGTGGGATTTGTTATTGCAGAACGGGTACTTTACATTCCGTCCCTAGGGTTCTCTTTGTTAGTAGTGGTAGGATTTCGACAGCTGTGTTTTTCTATGGAGCAATATCGTGTAAGTATAAAAAATATTAATGAATAATAAGTTTGGATAACAATGGCCTTGTGTTATAAACAAACTTGATATAATGATGCTAAATGCTTTTTCTAATATGATATCTTACCTCCTCTCACATAATAGCTTTTCTCAATTTGTACTGCCTCTATATGCAGAAATATTTTGCTCACCACTAGATTTGATACTCCCATCTACCTTCATGTGTTTTCACGTGAGGGTCAATATTATAGCATGCAAATGAGCAGGTGACAACCTTCCACCAATAGGAATACGACACAACTTCTAGCACACTGATTCCCTCTACACAGCTTAGCTCAACTTCACTTCTTGATTGGCACATAGTGCTTAGATATGTTTTTGTTAGCTTTATCCATGGAATTCCAATCATTTGCTTGTTTTTTTTTAGAACTTAGGTTTTTTATAGTTTGATACACTTTAATTCTCTAAATTTTCAATTGTACACATTAATATTATATGTCTTTTAAGTTTATGTGTGTATTTTTTGTTTTGTTTTTGGAACTCCCAGTGTGGATTTTTTTTCTATTTCCACTCATGAATTCAGAGCTTAATGATACATCTACTGCTGTTCCTACTGCAGTTAACCTTACTTTGTTTACAATGGGTTCTGGTCTGCAGTTGTCAGCAGAAGACATTATAGTTTTGGTTTGTTGGGCATTGGCTACCTTCAAGTAGGCTTCTGATTCACCTAAAGATTATCCTGTTGTACCTTGTTCAGGGGTACCTTGACAACCTTTTACTTCCCCCATCCTATGCCACACAGTCACATATAGTTCCAGTGGATGTACACAAACCTTCATTTCTTTCCCGGAATTGATCAACTAGGTTTGTTATGTTTTGTCCTTGTTTGTTGTTTCATTCTATTCCTCTCCTCTCCTTTCCTTTTTAAGGGAGACATATTCAGTCCAAAATCTTGTTCTCCCCCACCCTCACTGGATATTGGGGTTCATGCCAATAAATTTGTGGACCAGTTATGTTCTGGGGTCAGTATGCCTCAACCCCAAGTAATATGGAAGCCCATGCTTTGGCTTACCATCAGTCTGAATTTCTTTTTTTGTACTCACTGTAGTTGCATTTTCTTCTGCCCTTGTGGGGTTTGGATCCCAATACTTCAGTCACATTTTCCCAATCTCAGTTTTCCCATATCCACCTTACCTTTCCTCCCTCCCTCCTTCATTCCCTTTCCTCAGTTCACCTTTTATTTGAGACTTTTTATCGTTCCCCTGAGGGGTTTTCATTGGAGTCTTGTGCCCTGATATTTTTTCACTCTGCCAAAATTGTCCCCTTCCACCCATACATGACTACTTTGTTGTTGAGATATTTTGCATTGGGATGTCCTTTTGTCCCATGTCCATTTACCCCTTACAGGACTTGTGTATGGTGCCCTCTTTCAGGCAAGATGTCTTAGGGGCCTTCCTGATTCATTGGCTTCCTGTTAGTTTAAACATTCTCAACCTATTCCTGTGTCTCATACATCTTCTTTCTCTCTTTTAAAAGTTCCTGCTATACAGCTCTTCAGGGTTAACTACCAGTTTTTTCTGTGCCCCTGCAGTCCCAGTGACTATGTGGTAAATATAGATCTGGTGGAGGGCCAAGCTTTTGCCTTTTGCTACTGTGTAGGAGTCTTTTACCCCAGACCCTCCTCAAACTCCTCTTGAACCTATCCCTGTGTCTTATTCCTTTTCTTCTTCTCTTTTACTGGTTCCTTTTACATGAGTCTCCTTGCCAGATAGGCCAGACTTCACCTGCAGATTGCCTCCCTAATTTCCCAGTCTCTGCAACCTTCCTCCAAGTCAGTTTACCAATGTAAGTGGTATCTCTACTGCTGATGGTCTTATCATCATGGTTTTCATCTGTCCTGTCCTCTTCTCCTGCATTTGATTTCCTTCCTTACCTGGTTTTTTGACAAGGGGCTGTCGGTATCCACTATTGGTGGTTATAGTATGGCATTGTCAGTCATTTTCCATTTCACCAGGTTTTGCCAAGTTTTCACTTCTCTGGTCCTCACCCTTTTGTTTCATTCCTTCCGCTTTATCATCCTACTGCCCTCCCTGATTGGAACCTTGGTGTCATCCTCGATCCTCACACTTTCTCCCTTTGAGCCCACGTCTTCCTGTTTCTTGTATCATCTCTCCTTAGAAACCTTTTTCCTCCTCCTCTTGGCATGTAGACATAAACGTTCGAATTTATTCAATCTTAATGTCTCTCTCTCATTATATCCAAAGTACCATGTTATCTTCTACCCGGGTCAGTCTTTCCTACCCATAGCTTTGCCCACATGTGAGGAAAAATTAGCTTTCTATCCTATTTCTCTCCTTTATTCTCATTCTAATGTTGGACATGCAGGTCTTTGAAATGGAAGATCTTCTTCCCTTCCAGTTTTCTAGTTCAAGAAGAATGATAGGGGACCCTCTTCCTACCATGGAATAGATATTCATATCACGGTATTGTTGGTGTTGGTTGAGGTCAAACTCTCTCATGGTCTACCACACCCTAGCCACTGTACACCAGTGATCCCTTCATTTAATTTATGGTGTTCCTCTTCTGCTTCCACCCTTATTGTGACACATCATTTTCATTGGTGAAGAGTATACTTGGCTCAGAAGTGGTGTGGTCTTTCATGGGTGTGTCTTCCTTTGGGCACTTTCTGAAGGGGCTTATCTAGGTAATGTTACACTGATCCCTCCATTAGGTCAGTGTGGGATTCTAGCCATTATGTGAGCTTATTATTATCGTATTGGAAGTTAACATTTTCCTGTGTTGAAATTTTTTTCTGGTAGATTCTTACCTCCATTTACACTTCCAATGTCTTTACTTTTTATGTTGCTCAATCTCGAGGGGAAGTTGAGCTAAGTTGCATAGAGGAAGTCAGCTGTGGTAGGAGTTGTATTGTAATCCTATTGGTAGAGGGTTGTCACATGCTCATTTGCATGCTATTATACAGCTTCCTCATGTGAAATCATGTAAGGGTAGATGGGAGTATCAAGGCTAGTGATGAGAAAACATTTGTGCATGTAGAGGGCAGTACAAGTTAAAGAAAAGCTATTATGTGCGATGAGGTAAGAATCTACTGGAAATACATTTTTAGTGTAGAAAAATGTTAACTTTCAGTCATATATGGGAAATTAATAGCATAAATATTTTTGTTATTGGGCTTGAAAGTTAAATTTACTGAAGAATGAACAGAATGATACAGTATTTTGCAACTTATTGGTTTTATCTTTACTCTTTCTTTTTTTTATTGGTTTTAAATTAATTTAGTGCATGATATATGGAATTACCAGTTTTGTGCACATAATGAAATTAAGTAGGAAGTCTTAAGGACTAAAATACTGTTCATAGTGATTATATGTATTCTTAGTTAAACAAGATTTGAAAAATATTCAAGAAGAAATTTCTTTTTAAATAATAACTTCTATTGAATAATTCTCTTTATCGTAGGTATACCTGCACATTTGTATAATTGTCCTTGTTGGGTGTTTTGTTGTCAAGAGCCTTCAGGTATTGTAACAGTATTGAAATTAAAGAATGTATGAAAACAGATATTTGGTTTAATATATATTTATATTAAATAATTATTATTCTTTTATTTTCCTATAATTGTACTGGTACTATTTTTATTACTTTCTTCTCAAGGTATATGATATTGTAAATGAAATTTGTTGATGACACTGCAACAAAATAATAAAAATAATGTAATACATTTTTAATTAACATTTTACACCAAATCCTATAAAATTGTGTTTTTAAGATTCAGCTTATTTCTGCAACTTTCTACACGTTGGAAGCAAATCATAATGCTTTTTATTAATTCTTATCAAACAAAATGCCTATATTGTGTTATATAAAGTGTGGTTGGTAAGAACACGAAAACAGTTCTGCATTTGAAATGAAATTAATTTTGAATTGAAAAATTATGGTCTGATTTGTTGACATGAACTGAAGCTGAGATATGCATATGGAGAAAAAAAACAAATAGTTTGTATCTGACATGCACTATTGAAACAAATCACATACCTCTGTGTATATATAAATACATTTTTCAGGGCACTGTGCTGGATATTGCTTGGTATTATATATGGTAACCAAAGAATAAAATCTGTGTATGTAAAAACTTCACCAGAAGCATGTAGAACAAAAGTATAGAATTAGACTGTTTTGTGTTAATGATACGTCATATAATATAATACAGTTATAGTTAATGTCATCATTAGGTACAGTAGATCACTATATTTTCATACACATATAATAAACAAATGCAATCAGTAAATTAATGAAACTTCCCATATTATATAAATAAAAGATAAGAAGAAAGGTAAAGGAGAGGTACCAGGTAATTTTTTTATCGAAATGCACAAATTAACAATATCGTTAGGTTCCTTTACTTTGTAACTGATGTGTCATAGATCAAAAATAAAGAAACCAGATCCAAGAAACATGAAACATTATTGAACAAAAAGAAATTTAACAACTAACACTTATATATTTTGATATTATATAATATGTCAAAAAATAAAAATAAGAAACTAGAAAAATGATTTATGACACTGCTCTATTTTTTTTAATGTTTTGATAAATTCCATCCTTTAAGTAAATATTTTAAACACATATTTAAACTAAATTTTCTACTTAATACTTAAAGAAAATTGCTAGCAAAATTTACCAGTTATAGCCTTATTTATTTGATATTGAGTTTATACTGTTTATATTTAGAGAAGTTCAGAATGGAAAAATGAGGAAGTTCTATTCAAATCTGGTCTTAAAGTTTGTCCATTGAATGCAAAGGTATGAACTAAATCTTTTTGTAGTATATTTTGTTGGAAGTGAGCTAATTTATAGATAGGAATTGTACATTGTGAAAAAAGTGTGTAGTTTGTTGCAGAATAGTAATAATATTTATATTTTAGGAAAATAAAATTCTAAATGTAATAATTAAATGAGCATTTGTGTGTTTGCACTGATAAAAATAAAAACAAATTTCTTTTATAAAACATGGTCACGTAATTTAGTGTCCAGGTAGTAATGTTTACTATATGAATAATTAAATCGTAGTGGTTATTTATGCTTTGTGACTGCATGGTTGTTGTGGTGCCCGTGTGGAAATTTATACTTCATGAGTATTAAGTTTATGGGTTGAAAGATGTTGTTTCAGATTAGCTTGGGGTGTGAATTCAGTGTCTGTTTCTGTTCTAGTGGCTCTGTTATATGTCTTTTTCCATTTTGTCTATGGATTCTTCTTCAGAAAGAGATGTAACGTAGCTCTCTAGTAATAAGTTTATTCTGGTGTTACTATGTGTTGAATAGCAATAAATATGTATGGAACCAAGTGTATAGATCCTAAAGACATCATCCATCTCACATCTACACAATACACCATTGTATTAGCATGTGCAAATATTCCTTATAAAGTGAATTTAACTTTCTGTATACAAAACTACTAAATACGAGAATGTGGTATGTTTATCTTTATCAAAGTCTGATGTATGTATATAACACTATTTACAATCAAACATTTGCTGAAACACCATACAAAAATAAAGTTAAAGCTGTTCAAGGTAAAACCAGTAGCTGGTATCCTTCTCAGTTTTTGCAATCTTGTCTCAATTATTTTAGTATAATTTAAGTAAAAGCAAAAACAGTATAAGCATCACACAATAATATAAAGATTATTTAATATTTATAATGCTGCACATTGTTGCCTTAAGCTCATAAGTCACTAAACTTCTTGTTTGTATGATGTACTGGTGTAGTTATATATAACTAACAATGATATATAAAGTAGGATACAGTTTTCATAATATTATGGTTGTGTTAACTCTTTTACCTCAGACTGATACAATTTGTATTGCCTTGACTGGAGATGGACATTTATGCAAAAAACATACAGTAACTCTGAGCATTCCTCACAAAACTTTGTAATATTGTGTTAAAGTTTATAAGTATTTTGCACACAAAGAATGACATTATTATTATAATTACATATTTCTAATGAAAATTATATTTATCTATAGTAGTTATTTGCACTCAAGTTATTAAAATACTTTGAGTGTAAGGTGATTTTCATTTTAAGTATAAAAAATACTTTTCTTCATCTTATAGTTTTCATATTTCATTTGCATAACCTCTAGAGTCTTCTAAATGAGTATAAGAAGTTTTTAAGGGAAATGTTTATATTTTACTTTTCATTTTTTCTACCATATCACTAACTAGCTATTACCATGTAATGAAATAATTAATATTAGTAGATAGAAAAAAAAAACATACGGTAGTTATCTTTTCCTTTTGTAACTTTACTTTCTTCTGCTATTATCTGTCCGCAGTTTCTGCTCATCTCACTCTATTTATATCTTTATCACTTGATCATCTGTCTGCCTTCTATATTCTTGACATCAGTGTATTGCACATGATGTTCGATAATCTCAACATCAATGAATTATTAACAAAACTTCCTACAGTTGTCTGCTTTTAAATCTTATTATAACAAAAACTAAACAATAATAAAATATTCACTCACAAAAATAAATTAAACTGTCTTTTATATCATGACAACGACCTAAATACAATTTAAACTGTATCTCTAACTGTACTAAATTTAGGCAAGAAACAACCGTAAGTGCTGTAGTCAATCAAGCAGCCAACAATACTGCAGTCAGTTACTTGTACTCTGTGACAACAACTGTGTGCCAATTTCAATATAACCGTTATTAGATTATAATGTAAAATGATCTCTTTCTAATGATAATACATGTGTATGTGACATCTACATGTAGGCTACAAAGCTCCAACAAATATGTTGAAGGTGGGTGTGACACCTTTCAGGGATTGAAGAAATTTATTACTTTTTTCAACAGCATTTATTCAGTGAACTATGAAATGCACGAATCAAAAGGTTATGTAAGCATCTTATAGTCTAGACATACAAGTACACAACTGCCATTGTATTATTGAAGATACAAAGTGCCAAAGCAAAGAATTTTAATAGCTCCTTGGTCATTTAAGAAATTTTTCAAGTCTGATCTTGCAGTTTTCATTATAGCCTGTATCTTTGATTTCTAACAAAAGTGTTTTTGTTGAAATTTATACTAAGTTTGTTAATGTCCAAGCAGTGATTTGTACCTTATGATTTTTACTTTGTGAGTACTGTTAGTGTTTAGTGAGTGATTTATAGTTTGTAATCACTAAGAATGTTTATTTTCCTAATATAGTTTATACTTTCTAAGAACTAAAGCTGTAATAATGCATTAAGTTTAAAGGTAATACATTTTCCTCTTAGTTGGAAAACAAAGTTCAAAGATTTTTCACTTCTGTCGTAAGTATTCATGCTTAGTTTAGGCTTTAACACAAACATTAATTTCTTTGTAGGTTCATTACAACATTGCCAAGAATTCTGCAGATCATGGTGACAGAGAATTGGCTGTAAAAGAATACCAAGAAGCCATCAGGTAAAACATAACCAAATGATAACTAAAGTGAGATACAAGGAGTCCAACTATTCTATTTCTGAGACATACAAATATGTCACCATTGTAAAAATAATGATCTAAAAAAACAGTAAACTAAATATTTAAACCATTTACCCTTCTTTGAATCAATAGTTCCTGGAATTAACAAAATAAAATCTCTTCATATTTATAGTTTTTCAAACTTAAATTCATTAAAATCTTAGATACTTTGTATTTTCTAAATTTACAATAATAAAAATTTCTCAAGCAAAAACAGAAAGACTTGTCTATTTTGTAGTTTCCGAAATTGACATCTAAAAACTTTCATCGATAACTTTTTCTTTTATAATTGTCAACATTTGTTTGCTTTCAGCCATCTAAACTTTCTCATGTTCTTTAAACATAATAATGTATTCATTCAAGAAACTGTTTTTTTTTGTTTTTTTTCATAAGTGTCAACTTGATGTTTTGTTAGGTGATATTGTAAAATATAAATATAACAAATTGCATAAAAATAATTGTTTTTTCTGACATCTTTGACTAAAATGTTAATGGACTTGAACTTGATTTTACCTAGCAGATGCTGTGAACCAGTGTAATTTAGTATAATTTTTTTGCAGGCTTAACCCAAGTTATGACCAAGCCATGAATAATCTTGCAAATATTCTGAAAGACATGGGACAATTGAAAAGTGCTGAGAAGCTTCTTCTAAAGGCTATACACATCAGGTGCACAGAACTTTTCTTTACTCTGTAACTGTACTGAACACGTGATACTTACAAAAAAAAAATGAATATATTTATGTACTGATGTATATTAAGGTGGTCCTTATTTTTGAAGTTTTGATTTGCAACACTCTTACCCCCTCATTTTGTTCCAATATCTAAGTAATTCACACCAAGTTTTATACATATTGAGTAACATTTAAAGGTTGGTCAAGGTAGTTGAAATTTTACCTTGTAACTTGCATTATATCTGCCTTTTCTGAATATTTTAGAATGTTTCAGAATAGTCTAGTGCATTATGGAATATTGTAGCATATTTTGGGATATTCCAAACTATTCCACTTTATTCATAATGTTCACGAACATTCCATATATAAATAATCCATGTTATCTTATCTTAGAACTTGTCCTAGCATGTGTTTTCGAAGACTGTATGGGGCTTTCCTCTGGTCCAGGCATTGCAATTTTCAGTAGATTCTTGCAATATTTTGAAACTGCAGTTGATCATGATGAAATAGCAGAAGCCATAGAGGAAATTATGAACAATGACTTCTGGTAAGCCAACTTAGAGGTTGTTATTGAGATATTCATGAACTAGCCATAATCTTTCCTGGTGGCATCTATCCTCGTGGAGTGTGACTTATAGCACCTGGAGCACTACATCGTGCATGATGGATGGTCAAGGCATTATAAGCCCTCAAGATCTGGATGTTTATGGGACAGTTTAAGCTCACTGGCCGTGACGAAAAAGAACTTTGTGACATCTACAACTTTGTCGTTTGAATCTATCTTAGGGTATGGTTCACTGCTACTGATGCCATTTCTGCTCTTTGCAATGATCGTATCTTCCTGCAATATCTTTTTAAGTATAAGAAGGTGAATTCTGCTTTTTCAAAATCTTCCTGTCAAACATTTGCTGGACATTATGGTATCTCAACGAGGAACTCGTTGGTTTGGCATTCTTTGATACAGCTTTATTCACAGAGACAACATGAGCATTGGTAAAGGTATTAAATGAGAAGAACCTCCAAATTACTTCCTGCTGAATATCAGAAAGTCTAAGGACATGTCAATGAAAGATTTTTGTCAAAACACAACAGACTTTTTCACGTGCCTCAAAAATCCATCTGGTTTTCTGGATTATGACTCCCAAGTCATGGGAGCTCAGAAAGGATGGCCCTTATTGAGGAGTATAATGCCATTATAATAAAGAAAGAAGAACAGAAACAATTCCTCCTTTAAGTTGTGCAGAATCATAGAAGATGCTTTCCTAATAGCAAAAAATGAAACAATAACAGTGCAAAAGTGACTAGCCAAACCAATATCATATAAAAATCATATAATTATGTAATTATACTATTGTACATGCAATAAAGTAATAATATACTTTTAATAAATCATTTATAATACGTAACAAAATTGTTCTTATTTCATATTATGCACAAGGTATCTGATCACTTTAGTCTGTAACTTCAACCTCACTGAGCAACCTCTAAATATGGTCCAAAATGGATGAAGTTGAAGTTTTTTTTTTGGTACACTGGAACAGAATGATGTGGTGAGAGTTTAGAATCTTCAGCCTAAAAGGTTACCCGCAAATTAGGACCACCTTAATGTATGTATGTACAATTAAATAGTGCTAATACAGTAAGTTACATCAAATGTATGTAGCCAATTAACTCACGCATTTATAGGACAATGATGAAAGGGTATAAAAACAAAAACCAAGATATGTATAATGAGGTTCTAACCTAAAGAAGGAAAGAAAATTGCTCATTATCCATTAATTTCTAATGGGAATATATATATATAGCTGTATGATTGAAATTTATAGATACAAAAGTGTATTTTTCTTTTATACAATATGTAATGAATAAACATAGGGAATAATGTGTTTGTATTTCTGTAGGGCTGATTTTGCTGCAGCGTGGATGAACTTGGGTATTGTTCAGTCAAGTCTTGGGAAAATTAAGGAAGCAGAAAGGAGTTATTTGATTGCTTTGAAACATAGAAGACGTTATCCAGACTGTTATTATAACTTAGGCAATTTGGTAAGTTCTTTAAGGCATAATAAACATTTTCTAAGAGCATCAATGAGTTTTTAAGAAATATAAAAACATTTCTTTTTAAACTGTAGCTACAACTTAGGAAATTTTTGTTGTTCTCTGGAACCATAACTAATATTTTACAATCTGTAGGTTTGAATAAGACAGTTTGATAAATTCTCAAGATGTATTCAAATGCTTTACAAATAAGGTACACTTCAGGCAGAATTGTAAAATTTACTAATGGAACCCATAGTTACTCAGATCATTCAATTGAGATAGCTCGATATGTTCTCTTGATGAACAAAAGACAACAGTCAAACTTTTGTTGCAAGATAGATACTTTGTGCATTTCTCTTGGAGTATGTAAAATATACCCAACAGTTAACACAAATTCAATGATTCAAAAACATTACTGAAGCTCCAATCTTGTAGAGAATATATTTTTAAAAGCTAGATAAATTTTATAGCTGGCTTGATCCACCATAGGCATTTTCCAGAGATGTGGTGTATTCATGTGGCAAGTATTTGCTCTTCAGAATATTAATTTGGTAAATACTGCTCTACTACACTTTGTTAAATACTCATAAACAATACAAGAGACTGTTGTTACAATTTGAACAATTTATGTTGAAAGAATCACAGCTGTTAGAATTAATGTATATGGATATATAGGTTACTTTTTGTTCAGATATATGAAACTAAGATGCAAAAACAATACTATAAAGTGTGAATTAAAACACTACTTTTCATATAAAGGATCTAATACATTTTGGGATACCCTGGTTTCCCTCTTCAGAAGTATTTACCTTAATCTGATGGTGTCTTCATACAATTCAAGAATGGTTTGTTGGTGTAGAAAGTGCATGAATTATGTTTAGATGTTGATGATCATAATATTACTTACTTAGTGTCAGATTTTGAAATTTTTGATAAAACTGCTTCAAATGTTTCAACTTCCCTTGTGTGTTAATTTTAAAACTAAGTTTGGATATATTAACTTCATATATGAAATCTATTTTTATCATTTGTGGTTTCCTCCATTTGTATAGTTTTAGAAATGAGATATTAATTTTCTCTCTTTTGTCACTATTAAATATTTTGTAGTACTAAGCAATAGAACCAAACTTAGATCAAATTTTATATACTTGACTAATATGTTGAAAATTTAGAATTTTTATATGCAGTATTAATTTGCTATGGTTCATTAAACTTCATCATTTTACTTTCCATAAAGTATTTGGACCAGAAAAGATACAACGATGCATATCAGGCTTGGAAAAATGCAACTTCTCTTCGTCCATCACACCTGGTGGCTTGGAACAACATGATTATCATGCTCGACAGTACAGGTAAAAGCAACTGCCCATATAACACAAAACTTTCATCATAATTTCATTTAAAATGAAAGTAACAAATAATTTATAAGCATGCATCTTTATAACACAATATTCTTTCATTTTCTCAATAAACAAATTATTTATAGAGATGTGTCAAAACTCAGTATAATGTAATAAGTATGTCACATGTCTATATTCTACGTTGAATGTTCTAGTAAGATAATTTGGAAGATAATAGTGGAAGGATATGTTATATAATGCCTGTATCATGACTGTGTAAATTAGAGGCTTATTTTTCAATAAAGATACATTTTGTCTAGTTAGATATAATTTGAAATTGCTTAATCTCTTTGTCATAATGGTGTTTCAAAAAATATTAAGTAATTTGTTTTGTAAAGTTTTCAATGAATACTTTTTTGATATTTCATGAAACTTTTTTTGAATGCATATTTATCATTTGGACTCAACTTATTATGGCCCAGGGTTGAACACTACATACACATAGATGTCTCTAAAACTATACTGTGATGTAACTAAAGGCCATTATAGTCGTATCCATACTAGATTATTCTCTGACTTTGTGAAGAAATTCTGTAATTAGACCCTTTTTTTGGGGTTTAATGAATGTCTACCACACATATATCCTTATATCTGTGAACTTGGTCTGCTATATAAAATGTATTTTTTACAACATTAATTTAGGAAAATATTTCTTTGCATATCCTTGTGTCTTCCTGAATAACCCATTTAATACATAAGGTCTTGTTTCTACTAGCTTTTTTATATGTAAGTTTATGTTTTTTAAATATGTGCACCAAATCATTTAGAGTATGTTAGTTTGTGTATGACTTTGTTATTTATTTAACAGTTAGTCAGTCTGGGCTGTTAGAAAAATAAAAATATGGAAATGAAACTTACCTGTTAAAGGTGTTTTTAGACTTCTTGTTAATAACAGGAAAGTAAGACAGTATCTGAATACTTTTTATCAAACATAACAATTAGATATAATGCAAAGTAAAAAAAAGCTTTATTTTAAAAAGACTCAACGTTTTTCGTTCATGAGTCTGCTAAGAGGATGATGAACCATGACTGCTGACATAACCATGCTCATGCTGTCACAACATTGCAGAATAAAGGGATATTGTTTGTTACATTTTCACATTTGTGGTCAAATTCAAGCATAGATTGCTGTTAAAAGATTTGTATTTATTGTTAAGAAAAAAAGTTCCTAAAATATGCTGGAATGCCATTGTGAATACCAAAATAAGTGCTGAAACAGCATTCTGATGTATTCTGCTTTGACTTGAATACTGGATACATAAATATTATGAGAATAATTCTGAAGCAAAGAAATTTTTTAACATGTCTTAAGAACTTCCCTCTTTCAAATTTAAAACTGTAAACTATCTGAGTAACAAAGGAATATGTTAACTAGAGTTGGCCCTAAGGATGACTCCATTGCCATGCCATCCATTTGGTCATATGACTGACCATTGAAGACAAAGTGATTATCCTTGAGAGCAAGTTTAAGTAATTCTTCGAACCGACTATCTTACTTTAACATTAAATAGTCTGTGTCGTGCATTCTAATTATTGTTATGGTTTATTTAGGTGATAAAATAGATAACTAAATCTGATAGGGTTTGATCTTGGATGCTACTTGATATGCATTAATAGTTTTGTAAATTTGTTTTGGAGCTTTTCATGTAATTCAGTTGACTATGTATTACTTCTTCAATGACAAATTACAACTTTTCATATTTTAAAAAGAGAGGAAGAAAGATATTGTCTAATTGATATTAATTGACACTTTAGGAACAGAAAAGTCCATACCTAGTAAACACAGTTTCAAGGTTTTATTTAAAAAATAGTCAATACCTTAGTTATCACCACAACTTTTATTAATCAGGTGATTTAAGTAAAGCTGAATCCCTAGCCCGTGAGGCTCTACGGTACTTGCCAGAAGAAAGCTCACTACATTTCAACCTTGCCAATACTCTTGGAAAAATTGGAAAATACCAGGAATCTGAATGGCATTTTTTGCATGCCATCAAGCTCAACAAGAACAATCCCTCTTACTACACTAACCTAGGTAAGTGAATGAAGTTGTTGAAAAACAGATTAGATGAAAACATGTTTCAATTTTAAAATGCTGTCATGAACTTTGTAATCAAATATTAGAATAAAACTGTACTAATGTTTTTTGTTAGTGTTTTTAACAAATGCACAAATATTTACTATTGAATTAAAGTCTAGTATTAATGCTTGGAGACGGCTTGAATGGGTAATGAAGAAGAACTTTTAAATTTAACATAACAGCAAATGTACAACGTTTTGACAAGGTTTTGTCATCATCCATTCATTACCCATTCAAGCCATCTCCAAGCATTATTAGTCTCAAAGTGTGTTCCTCGTCATCGAATTTAAAGTCTAGTATGTTGAGAAACCACTATGGAAGTTTATGTGATTAGAATAATTATATAGGTATAATTAAAACATATCAACTAATAAATTTATTTTTTGAGCTTATCTATGAAGCATAGATTTGTTAAGTGAAGTAAAAATTTGTATCAACTTATGTAGCTTCAGTTCTGAAAGATTTGCCCTTTTCAACTTAGTAGCTCTCATTAAGATGGTTCTTTTAGAATAAACTTAAACTTTTTAAACTGCTGTTGCCTATTTGAAGTCCATAAGCTACAAAAAATCAATGAGATCAATAAACTTATATATTCAGTTTACATTTGATGTTTATAATGATGTGGATATCTGTGGATAACAAGGAATGTACTTTTTATTAATACTCCACTGGGCATAACCTAATGGTTCACATTCTGCTGTACTTTAAGGTTATATCTCATTATTCAGTTAAGAGTAACTCAAGAGTTCACAGGTCAGTGTTATTGATTATGTTCCTTTCCTCTAGCATTAGAAATGTCCAATATTTTCACTGGTTGTCCTGTATTTCCTGTACTATGAGCATTTTCCACAAATGTGACATTGTGTCTAAAAGATTACTGCAGTGTGCCAGGAAGAATAATTTCTGAAATGCGATTGTTCTTGGTATAGACACTGCTAGAGCATGGTTTAGTTATTCTAGAATATTTTCTTTTGAGTAGTAGCCCATTTATTTTTATAAATGTTTCCATTTACTCTCTGTCAATGTCCATATTGTAAGACCAAATGCTCAAAGGTTTTTTTGGTTGGTTCTTTTCTTGCCACTGATCCTGGAATGACATACATTTTTAAAATGGGACTTGTGCCTTTCAGGTTGGGAATTTTACTTCATTCTGCAATAATTGGAAAATTTAGTAGAACAGTAGAAAATGCTGACCATTCTGGTTCATTACTTTTAATTACAACAGCAATACTTTTTAGATGATGCTTGGCTATCTTGGAAACTTTTATTAAATAATTTACATATGTACTTAATCTTAGCATATTTCAATATAACCATGAATAGTCCTACTCTTATTGCAAATCTGTGAAATGTCTTGTGTCCATCCCACTCTATGGACCAGGCTTTGCATCATCATTGCTGATGTTTTTTTTTTTACGATGATAATAGACTTTCACTGTCATGATTTTACATTCTCTAAATGCATACTGTCTATTGGCATATCTATATTGCTTGAAGCTTGTGAATTTTGTAGATCTGTTGAGTCTGACTTACAGACTGGTTTTGTATCAGTAGGTCCAGCTACTAAACCAGTATTGTCAATGATAACATTACAAGTATTACTATCGCTCATTTCATCATGTAGGTTTGATTGGCATCCAAATTTGGAATGTGTGTAACCCTTTTTTGTGTGCCTTTCTTCACATGATATTTTCATTTGTGAGACATATTTTACCATGTGCTGCATATTCTGTGAAATAATCTTGATGTCACCAAACCAATTTGTTTTCTTGATTTGCAACTTGTTCAAATAAAGGCTTAGTGTAGGTTAATTTTTTTATTTTCAATGACACTTAATTTGAGATTTTTTAAGACTAATATGATAATCCTCCTCCTAAATATTGTAAAAAATGAGTTTTTATTACTTGGAGTGTTATAAAAGTCCTTATCTTGTGTCTGTTTTGCAATGTATTTATTGCTGGTAGTTTTTTTTTTCTGGGACTAACTGATAGTGCTTGTAGTTAGATTTTTTGTTGTGCCAAGAGTTACTACTAAATTTTCATGTATTTTTTGTTAAATAATGGCCATGACAGAGACAAATGGTGTTGGAAAGAATGGATGATATATGAACAAATTGCACTTAATGTGTCAAGCATTTTCCCTGTGTAATCTCAGGTCTGAGCACAATTAAGTAGCATGTTACCACACAGTCATCAAAAGAGATCACTTGGCCAATTACAGTGAAAAAAAGACAGACTTCATTTAAAGTTAACAGCAGAGGAGAATAGTCTTTCCAGCAGAAAAAAATCTCAGGGTTGCTCAGTCTTATGTGCTGGCTTTAAAGTCATACTTGATGAATCTCAGACAGACTATGACCTTCATTTGGATAACAGTAAGACTGCTTCTATCATTACACATGGACTGTAACCACTGTTCCAAATGCAAGTTCTGTACGATGCCAGTGTTTTCACCAGTGTATGTGTGGATGGGACAACTACTGCACAAGTGAAGAAATAATTTGATATTCACTTGAGATACTGGTCATACTGGCATTAGAACATTATTACTCACTTTTACAATACAGCATATCTGGCATACAGAAGTGACCACACTCATGCCATAAGGATTTCTCTTACAAAAGGATACCTACATCCAAGCAACTTCCTGATGCTATCTAGGGATTACTCAAATATCACCAGGGCATTTCATTAACAATTGGGTACATGAGTCAGAGAAACAGTGTCTCCAGAGATCCTTTGTCTCGTATCTTGCAATCTTCATTTCATGTATAATTCCTTCCAAGCTGGTCTTGATGCAATAAAATGGATGATGAAGCCTTTGCTGTTGATATATGCTGGTGATTCAAGCTATCTTCTGCATGGCAGGAAGATTACAAAGAAGATATTCAGATCCTTCTAGATATGGAGAGAACTTGTTTTTCTCATGTTCCATGCAGATAGCTGTCATTATATGTTGTTGTAGACAGATTTTTGGAGCAATAAATTGGGCCCAAGGAGTAGTTTCTGGTATACCTACCAAAGAAACCTTCTGCTATTATTTGGAAAAATCACTATGCCAATATTAAAGAGAGTGGTGCTTGAAAATTCAACTTTCATGCCAAACTACAGTTTGTACATTTCAGTTAGCCAGATTTTAAAAAGTTCCCGAGACTCTTTCAGACAACTGGTCCTATGATTCACATCCTTTACACAGAGTTGTCAGATGTCATGAAAAGACTGATGCTTAAGTTCCTGAAGATCACAGTAGTTGGTTTAAAAGAAGAGAAGGAACTAGCAGATTCTGACTTCAAGGACAAGTATAACCAACTGAGTGATGACCAAACATAAATTGACCTGAAAGCTAGGTATGTCATAAAAAACGTGAGTAGCTTTCACCAGCAGAAATTTGAAAATGAAACCATGTAGTTATGTTGCTTTTGTCACTAAAATGCAGCACAGGTTTCCATGTGACAAGTCAGTTTTGAAAATCTGCAATGTATGCATCCACTCATGAGACATGAGGAGAGAGGTGTAGTGCCTGTCAAGCTGCTGTGTTATAAATTAAACCATATGTTCCCAGAGGACCAGGATTTAGACATAGTAGTGGAGTAATGGAAAGGCTACTACTTGGACCAGGAGATGACCAGAAGAAGTATCAGTCTTTAGAAAAAAAAATAGTGAAAGCTACCATTGTGCTCTTCCATGGTAATGCAGATGTTTAGCAATGGTTCTGTCTTAACAAGAGCATACTGTCCAAGGAATGTGCCCATATGGAAGGAAATACAATTATAGCACTCTGGATTGTTAAAGACATCGTCGCTGTATGGGAACATACCTGAAAATGTTCAAATTACTAAGTCATTTATCACTGTTTTTCAAGGCAATTAACGTGAAGTAAAAGTCAATGCCTTCAGCCTCAGATTACAGTTATGATATAGAAAAAAATATAACTTAGAAGGAGAGATTATCTCTTTTAAAAACAGAAAGAAGTTATCAAGATGGTTAAAAAACAACTAGAAGAAACATTTAGTTGGAACAAGCTTTGTTTAAGGAGGCCAGACTGCTGAAGGCCATTCAAAATATAGGCTTCACCCAGGTGTTTGTTGCCCAGACTATGCTGGAGAGTAGAAGTGTGAAATTGAATAGGCATTAAAAAAGAATAAGAAGCTGCAAACAAACAAAAAAAAAGAGGAAGTTCATAGACACTCAAGAATCAGTAATAAAAAGTAAGCAGGAAAAAATTAATGTATAAGTCATGTATTTGTAAAAAAATTTGTAGATCCTCAAATGCAAAAAGGCTTTTATCATTTATACTATTATTCTGCTTGTTTGTATGTACGACTGTTATGCTTTCTGAGTGAGAACCTGCTGGGGCACTAAAAAAATCATTATGTCGCAATGGTAAATCCGATGGCATTGCTGCTTGTACACATGAAAGAACTTATTTTTTGTCAGTCATGTTTACAATATGAAGGAAATCGGTGAAGTAGTTTTGGAGAAATATAATTTTTAATTTATTTTTGTTGACCTGCATGACGTGGACCCAGTTCCAGACCTCTATATATAAGCTGGACCCGTGTAAATTCCATCGGTGTTGACAACTAAGATATCATCATTACTCTCGCATATATATTTCTGCAATTAAAATATATAATTTTGTTAAAGTAATTTATTACCTATGGAATGTATCTATATTAACTATAATAACATGCAAAGGCAAATGAAGCTATTTTGGCTCCACAACTGATTTTAATTTTAAGTATGGATGTAGGGGTGTAGAATAATTGAAGTCAACATCTAAATGTCACATTAGAAATGTTTTCTGAGACCTTGCTACAATGCCTGCTGTAATCTTTGAGTTCAAAAGTTGGGACAACTAATATGGATAGTCCTTGTCTAGTTCTGTGTTATTATCTGTAACAAGCTTATTAATACTGTTAGTAAACATTTAAGTGCATGATACTATACTATACTATTAAAATTAGTGTTTGCTGTATGTTGGTTTAAAGAAATATTGTTACAGGTTAGTAATTGTAGGATCATGTTTTTCATTGTTGTTTGACAGTTGTATTTTCCAGTTTGGATTTGGACCTTACTATCAATTAAAGTTTGTGTTACAACTGTTTACAAACACGGTCATCAGACTAGTCAGCTGAGACCTTAATAATCACAATTGTTACTTGAGATTAATGTCATTAGCAGTACAGATCCTTAAAGAGCAGCTATTCTAATATGAAGTCTATCTCTATTTAATGTCCTTAATAATAGAATTTCCTGAACAATTGGTACTCTGAACTGAGGTCTTTGCTTGAGTGAATGTCATTAGTATTGAGATGTCATGAAAAATGACACTCTGATTTAGAATCTTCATATAAGTACTAAAATAAATGTTGATAGCATTGTAGCATCTTAAGAAAAATGAAAAATGGTTATTCAGTTCCAATACATTTACTTGATTGAATGTTATTAGCAGTATGGTTTATTATGGTCCTTAACACAATCAAAAACAATGTCTTCTACCATTTTTAGGAGTACTTTATCATCGATGGAAGAAATACGAAAAAGCAGAAGAAGCTTATCAGCAAGCACTCCAAATGCAACCTGGTCTGAAAAGTGCACGGGATAACTTGGAGCTTCTTCATAAAACTCTCAGCAGATTAAGATCACAACATTAAATACTGCTGTCAAGTGATTACTGTACACCCTATGGCATGTCTAATATGGAGCAGTAGTTGTAGTCTTTCGGGGGCCAAATGTATTAATCACAGAACCTGTGCTTTTATAGTCCTTTTATCTTTGTTTATAAGGCCTAAATCTATATTGATAACATTGTGAAAACTTTATTTTACATATTATAATATCCATTTTCTCTTCTTTTTTTTTTATAAAATACATCTGTTTGATTTATTTTTTCTTGAATTTATTTAATTAGATTCTAATGGTTACTTATAGTAATATGTAATTAGTGTTTCTTGTAACATTTTAGCATGAGACATTTAATTATATTTTGTTAAAATATTATTTTAACAGGTTCTTTAGGGACAGTTTGATTCATACAGGAATAAATAACTCAAATCATCAAAATTAGCATAGTACAATGTTTAAGCATTCCTTTATATAGAAAATAATTATACAGCACTGACTTTGCATGCATTTATACTCTTTCTAACTGTTGAACTCAAGCATGGAGCTTGTAAAATATTACATCAAGAGCACTGTTATACAAATCTATGCCTCCGCCATTCAGTTCCATACGTTGTTTACATTGTTATGAAATGTAAAGTTTATGTCAGTCCAGGGATTTGAGGTTTCTATATCAGCATGTTGAAGTTTAGGTAAATGTTGAATATAGATAAGTTTATAGATATCTTCTCTTGCTGTTCGTCTTGAAAAGTGAGTCTGAGTAACTCTTAAAAACCACTTATTGTTGAGTATAATCATTCGAAATCAGAGTTAACTTTACAATTGAAGTACAGGGATAATTTATTTTCTGTCATAACTGTTCGTATACAGTCTCGTTGAAAAAAATGTTCCTGTAATTCCACTTAAACTCTGCTCAAAATGTTATTGTGAAAAGTGCACTCTCTTATTATGAGCAACTGCTTTTATGAATTTAAGTTCTTAACACTAACTTTTTCAAAAGAAAAAAGTTTGGGAAACCTGTTAATTTAGATATCACATGAAATATGTATATAATACCTGCAGGTTCACCTTATTACTTGAACATAAATGGTATATATTTTTTTCTATTTCATAGTAATACTTTCTTATGTTTTTGTGTTCTGTACAAACCTAAGTAATTCTTTAAACTATGTGTCACAACACACTAGTGTCATGAGAGTTTTATCAAACGATGAATAATTGAGAAAATAAAAAAAAGTTTATAAAAAAAATATTGCATGTGGCAGCATGGGTGTTGTGCAAATCAAGATAAGTGGGATAGGATTAAGCACTAGTGAGATATAGAGAAATTTATATTTACATGTTTAGCAGAACTAATAACTTGTAATCATGTTTGTTATCAGAAAGTTGTTCAGCAGTACAGTTATACACTTAATGTCAACTATGTAAAACTTGGAAATAATTACAGTTGGTGAATAGATTGTCAAACATTTGTTAATGAGTCACAGAAACACATAATGTTGTTCGACAATATCATTTCAAAGTGGGCTAACAGCTACTCTGGAATAATATAACAATGACTTTATTTTATTTTCCCCTACCACTTGTTTTTGTTTTGGCATTTTCTTAGATTTTGTCATTATAGACATGTTCAGTTTTCTCTACATTTCCATTAAATTCTCTTTTGTAATTCTGACTATATTTTACGTAAGTTATTTATTAAACATAGATTTCAAAATTTTGTAAGTAAAGAAGTTTCTTCCATCTTTTCAAAGAGATTGTAAGTAACATGTGTTCATGGTTTTACACTGACATAAATAATTGTAGAAAAATTTTATTTTTTATTCACATTATCATTAGTCAGCTGGTGATTACAGCTAAATTTTACTTCCCTCTTTCTCTCACTACTTCAATCTGTTTATGTTTTTGCTGTCTGCTAACTATTATTCCAAAATAGGAATGAATTAACAATTTGAGAAGTGGCTGTTGTTTTAAAATTGATTTCAGTTTTTCAGTAACCAGACTCTCCTAGAATTATAACTGCTGCTTTTTCTCAAAAAATTGTTCTATATTTTCTTATACTGATGACACTCTTCATATATTGATAACTTGTATCACTAATCTCGCACTGTTTGCTTTTTACAGTTAGAACCGTGGAAAGAAACCTTATAACTCCTCAAGAATAATATAAAACTTTTATTGAATTTGTTGAACATATTTATTTAGTTATAACATAACCAGACAAAGTAAATTAAATTTTGATAAAAAAAAATAGAGATAATATCATACATTACAGAATAGCAAGACCCAACACTTGTAGGAGAAATAAGATTGCATAGTATCTGTTAGTTCAAGAAAGGCCAAGTTATATCTGAAAGTGTTTATAAAAAAATTAGACCAGTTGGAATAATTTTTGATTATGCTTAAAATTCTTGCATTGGACTGCCCTGTAAGACCAATTTTTACCTCACACTGACATTGGACTGCCCTGTAAGACCAATTTTTACCTCACACTGACATTGGACTGCCCTGTAAGACCAATTTTTACCTCACACTGACATTGGAAAGTAATTTTTAATACAACTTTTCCAGTTATTTGTATTTTTCAGTTAAATGTTTTTAGTGCAATTATTTGAGAATACATAACTAACAAATTTACTGACAAAAGCAGCTCTGGGTTTTCTAATTTTTAATAAAACTTAAGCTTATTGTTAATGTGTACATGTCTGTAGTTTCATGTAAAGTTTCATCTCATGACCATTCCATTGCAAGAGTTCACTGTTTTATTTGCTTATCCAGTTTTTTATATTCAGGTAAATTGGTTGTCTGAACATTTTCTTTTTCAGCTTGTGTTTCAGAGGATCTCATTTTACAATTAATGGTTTCATTAATGATAAAATTGATGAGGTTAGTATGGGATCAAAGTTTATATTTGTTACAGTTATTCTGTTCATGAGTAATCATGGAAAACAATGGTTGGAAAAAATATCCTCTTGATTTTTAAGTACTTTATTATGGATGATATGCGTGCCATTTCCCTAGAAGAGTCTGTTAATGAATTTGTACAGTATTTAAACATTAAGCATCCAAATATAAAGTTTATAGTTAAAAGTGTTAACACAAATTTGGATATTTCAGTACATAATCACAAGGGTATAAGAATAAGAAGTATTTTGTTATCTGTAAATGTACATGTGATAGACTGTGCAGAGGAGAATATCAGTTCCACCATTAGTGGCTGTCTACTTGTATAAAAGAGCCTACTTTTTGGTAAAACTGAAAATTGGGTCGAGTACTGTGTGACATGTATATTGTAATGTTGCTGCTACAACGAAAAACTTTGTGACAGTTATTACTGAGCTGACAATGAGCATTAATTATGGATTTGAAAGAATCGTGATGGCTAAAGTAAAGTTGATTCTAAATCAGCAAATTTAACAAAATCATTTCAGATTCCAATCTTATTCCACTTTTTGAGTAGCATTAAGTTTCTTAAATATTATATTTATCTGCAAACTAGTAATTAACAATTTGGTTTACCAGATCAGTTGGCTGAAAGTGACTGGTAGCTGGTTCCTTATAATCTGACCTTTACATGAAGTTTTTATTTCCACTTTTAATGCTGGACTTTGCAAGCACAGCTGTAGGCATAGAGGTCACCTCTGCATCCCCAAAATGATGCTACTGAAATACCATTCTTTCCTGTTATAACAATGATTCAGGGGTTTAATTATGGACGTTTTTTATTCAGTGATTCCAGAAATTTATAAATAAAAATACTTTGTTTCTCGTACTGATTAATCAAAGCAAGGTAACCAAAAACAGGTTTTCTATATCTTATTGCAAATGTAATGCTGTGGGATAAATGGGGAATGATTACTGCCTTAGATGTTTTGATTTGAAGTAGAACCAGTAAATTAAACTCATGGAACCTCTTTAAGTTTGTCTGGAATTTCAGTATCTGTACAAAAAGAAGAAAAAACATTTAAGATCTTGAGGTGTGATAGAGGTTGAATAATAGTGTATATATGTGTGTGTGTGTGTGTGTGTGTGTGTATGAATTTGGTGTCATATCTAGTAATAATAATGTTTTAATACAAATAATGTGGTTCATTGTTGACTGTTTAATTTGTGGTTTTATTTTCTTCTAGTGCTTTATGAATTGTTATTATGCTGTGTTAAGTTGAATAGTTGTAGGTGTCAATATATCTCTTTTATTTCTTATATTTTTGAGTACAAAATGTATTTAAGACTATTTCAGAAATGTGCTATAATAACTGATCTGTTTTATTTTTAAGTTTTTGTATATATAGTAAACATAATTCTTTTCTTTTACCATTCCAAAACACATTTTTAATTGCTCAATCCAGGATTAATTCACCAACACTTTTTTCATACAAAGAACTTTGATACTGGTTCTATACATAGTCTTTTTACACATGAAATTTCCATCTTTGTTAACGTTTTTTATCAGGAGGGGACTAGTGTAGATTTTCAATAACAGACTGAAAATAATTATAATGTTACTGGCATAAGATTTTATCAGTTGTTATTTATTTAAAATTGAAGCCAAGCTAGACAGTTTCTATCACCCAGCATTTATAAGTGTTCCAGATGTTTGTTGTACTGTAGAATAGAGTCATTCAAAGTAACAGTTAATTATTAGCTTGTTTGTGAAAAAATGTTTCTCAAGACCCACTTTGTTCTTTTATGAATTAACATTTATATGAAATCAAAACATTTTGATTTCAGGACTTTTACTTTTCAATGTACAAAAATTTATTTAGTTTTCTTTCTGAGAATACTGAAGTTTCTTTCATGTTTTTATTTTCACTTTATTTTTGAAGTTTTTTATATGCCTGATACCCTGGAAGTGCTTGATTTAAATAACTTTTTTTTCCTTAATCTGAAGCCCTCATGATTAGAAATAAAAATTTTGTTTATTGCTCTGGAGATACAAGTAGTATATTGGTAAAAAACTAAGCTGTAACAAACTAACATGTTCAGGTAGACACACGAAAGAGTCCATTACAAGACACTCGAGTGATTTTGTGGATATGATCACAAGATTAACATGTGAATTTAGAAATGTAAATATATGTTGCTTTAAAGGTTAGAGTAACAGTGTAACTATAGTCACAAGATTTATCAGATGAGGCTAAAGATGTAACTAGACTGCATGTTACGAGAGAGAGAAGAACACAGTTAGAGGTATGAATGGA